GGAAAAAAAAAAAAAAGAAAAAAGAAAAAGAAAAAAAAAGAGGTCGAGGTATTGGCCGAAGCCAGAGAAGCGTGGAATAAAAGTGGCGCGAGAGTCGGTGCGTGTACACGCGTTTCGCGTTCGATGCCGAGGAGAAAATCAGTTTAACTCCTGAACGAACCTTTGCCGCCTACCATAGCTAATCCCAGATCTGCAGGCAAGTTCACGACGGGGGTGTAAACCCGAGAATGTTGCGGCTAAGCCAACCTCCCTCCGATCCCTCCCCACCTCTCAGTCCCCCATCGGTTGGTAGCGTTGGGTACGATACCTGGTGCGAGTCTAGGCCAACCTCTAGCTATCCCGACGACGAGGACGAGGACGAGGACGAGAACGACGACGACGACGACGACACTCGTTCGATACCGTAAAAGCCTGCGCGAGGGGATGGACAGGAAGCAAGAACGAAACGGAGGAGGATGCGCTGGGAGACGGGAGGATGTTAGCGGTTGCCAGCTATCCTACCACCCTCCTACCAGCCTGCCTGCCGGAGGATCGCGCGAGAGAGCGGACCCCCCGCCGTCAAGGGATCCCATAAAATAGCTCCACTAACTTTTTTACTTTATCATCCAGCCAGTCCTCTCGCGAACCCTCTCTGTCGATATATACCTGCCGCTCCTATACCCCTGCGTATGCCACCTACCACCGATAACCACCATCACCACCACCACCACCACTGCCGCCGCCAAGAAACTTGGCAAAAAATTTGCATTTCATCGCGTATAATGCGAAAAGGAAAGGAAGAGAAATAGGTAAAATGAAATACGAATCAGCGGGGAAACACGAATTCTATCCTCGTTAGTCGGAAATTAACGACAAACGAATTTAGGAGGTGGATGAAATAACTTTTGATTCTTTTTCAAACGGAAAAAACGAAACGAAACGGGACGGAACGGGACGAAACGAAACGAAACGAAACGAATCGAAAAGGGAATAGCGGAAGAGGATAAAGAAGAAAAGAAAGGAGAAGAGCGAGGAGAGAAAAGGATAAATAGATGGATAGACAGGGAGTCGCGCATCCACAGGCAGAGCTTTCGTTCCCGCTACCCTCGAGGATGATTTTTCGAGAACGCACGACAGCAAACGAACCTCCGAGGAAATCTTCGTGCTCGACCCGGGCTATTTCCCTTTCCACGATGTAGACAGGACAGACAGGACGGATCTGCATTAACTATGGATTCACCTCATCCTCCTTATCCTTCCTTCGAGATTCTTTTTTGCGGTTTCTATCGTTTTCCCCCCTTCCTCCTTTTTTCTCACTCGCAACCGACCGTTTCCTTTTCCCCCTTTTTTTTTTTTTTGGCCCCGCGAGAACGGGAACAGTGACGGATTCGTTCCGTGTACGGGCCGATAAGGTGTATTAACGCGCGATCGAGCGTTCGGGAACGCGCACGAATTAAAAAAAAAAAAAAAAAAAAGAAAAAAAAAGGAAAAAAAAAGGAAAGGGAGAGAGGCGGATTTTTTTTTTTACTTTCGTCGGACAAATTATTGAATTGGTCGGTGATCGAAAAGCTGGTCGGAGAAAATGATCGGTTCGAAGCTCGGATTCATCTCCGTTGGGACGAACGTCCATACGAATCGAATCGACCTTTGATCAGAGGTGCGCGATATCGGTGAAAATTCGCGACCGATCTCTATCGTCATATCGTCTCGAAATTCTCGCGTCCCGTCAGATAGAATCTCGGTTAGACCCGTCCGGGTTATCGACGATTCAACTTGGGAATCATAGATTATGGCGTAATTAATTGACCGAAATACGGGGGGATGTGTCATCCCGTGATTTCGGAGTCAGCATAAAGCGGCGCTGAATTAGCGAGTATCGAGGCGACGGATTACCGTGTAATGACCACGATTACCATGCAACTCGAGTCAATGGTCGCGCGCGATTTGTCATCGAATCGAAATTCTCGCCGAATACGATGGAAAGTGGGACGTATCGCGGAGATC